TTCTTAAACACAACCAAACACTGAGCTTAGAGACTGGACCATAGTTTCAGAGGTTACCAAGGTCAGTTGGCATAACATAATCCATAAAGATAATGTTCTACATCCTACTTCAATGAGTCTTAAAAACTCCTGAGGTCTTACAAACTCCTGAGGACCATATATGGTAAAACTGTTGGTCTCTCTCTGCTGAAAGAAAGAAGAATTATAAGAATTAAAGACACATGGAAATAATTAGTCTATTGAACTCTTGGACCACAAGAACATCAGTCTCCATGACCCTGAGACTAGAAAAATTAGATGGTGCCTAGCTACCACTATCAACTACTCTGAACAGGATTGCATTAGAAGGTCCTGGACAGAGCAGGAGAAAAATCTGGAAAAAAAAAACAAACTAACTAAAAATTACTGTTAAAACTGCATTTCTGATTGATTAGAGATTGTTGGAACCCTTGAGACGATAGTTGTTGGTCATCCTTCATGTCTAGAAATGAACTCACCCTCATGGCTCAATTTTCAGTCAAACAATAGGCCTACAAGGGGAACAATAACACTAAGGAGGTACAGACACCTTAGAATAATCAACCATATGAGATGAAGAGGGCAGCATTCACCCAAAGACAAAGTTCAGAAGGGTTAGCAGGAAAAGGAGGAACGGAAACAGTAAATACAGAGAATTGGGATAAGTGATATTACAGTTTGGGGATTGTAATCAATGACATGAAACAAAATGTGTATGAATTGATTGGATGGAAAACTGAAAGCTTCACCCAATTAACAATAAAAAGTAAAAAAATAAAATAAAGTAGAGAGAGAACCCTCTGAAACATTAAACAGGAAGTATTAAAGCTATTCCTCACACCTTCCTGAGGCCAATTGGACATCATGTCTGCAAGGGAAGGGAAAAAGTGGCTCTAACACGTGCCATCACCCTTAGCTATCCTAAGGATTGGTGCTCCACAGTCCCTACCACTAGCAAAATCAGGTGTTTTCTGCTCTTCAATGACAGAGCAACCATATGCCATATACCCTTTTCTTTTCTCCTATATTGCTGTAATAACATATTCACAGTCAGTGTCCCCTGTAGACTTTAAATCCCTCAATGAAAGGAATGACACATCTAGCACAATGCCACAGAGCAGACACTCAGAACAATTTGAGGAGTAAATGAGTAGATAAATGAAGAAATATGTTCATTAATTTTGGTAAGAAAATGGAAAGTCGACATGATAAGGTCAATGATAAGCTTTCAGAGGCTCAATGGCAGAAGGATGTCATGATGAGATTCATATATAAAGAAAATTTAAATAGATTTTTTTTTAACTTTCCTTATTATAAAACATCAAGAAGGTACATTTTATTCTATTTATTTCTCCATTTTCAGATATCTCAGTCATAACAGAATAACCGTCCTGAACCCAGGTGTTTTTGAAGATCTCTACAAATTAGAATGGCTGTATGTTTTATTTATGTGACATTTTATAAAATTAACTATTATAATCTAAAAGTATATAAATGAATCAATTGTTTTCCTTCTTCTGGCAGGATAATTGAAGATAATCAGCTCAATCAAATTTTCCCAGAAACATTTAGTGGACTGAATTCTCTTTTTCTCTTGTAAGTATTAAACTAAATTTTGCATTTGAAAGAAAGTATATGAATAAAAATTACTGCATAAAGTTAACAGAATTAAATTGGAAATTGTTAAAACGCAAAAAAGGCCTTTTGAGCTGGAAACCATTTCTTCATCATATTCTGTAAGATTGTTTTGTAGTTTTGTAAATTCGAAAAATTTTCTAAAACTTTCTGCCTTCTGGAATGTCAAGCCACCAAAACTGAATACAACTTAACTACCATATTTTTTTTTAATAGTCTTAAGTCAACCATTAGTGTTAATCATGGTAAAGAAAACTTGCGCTCACTTAAAACTACTCCTTTCTGCTACCCACTGTTGAAGGACATAGGCTACTAACATTGCTGCTCCTTCCTATAACTGCCACTTGTCAAAATTTTGTTACCAGAAAGCACATAAATATGATAGGACTTACAGTGGAAAAATTAGAAGTACAAGACAGTTAGCTTAGTTTATTTTCATGGCTTCAAAAAAGCAGTACCACATTTTACTTAAAATAAGAAAAGAACCAAACACAAAAAACATGTGACTTCTCCTGTTTCTTCTCTTTCTCAGAGTGCTGATGAATAATGACCTCACCCATTTGCCTGATAAACCTCTTTGTCAACACTTGCCAAGACTCCATTGGCTGTAAGTTGCTGATCTCTTTTTTAAAGTCAACTACTTTTTCTGTTTTGCATCATTCACTTTGTATAATGATAAACTGTTAATATCATATTACATTTTATCATGTTGTTTTAGTATGATTTTTATGTTAAACATCTCCACTCTCTAAACTAACTCTTCTAAACTCTCACCCAAATAAAAAAAAAAAATTTTTTTTAATTAAATGTTTTTATTTTG